CTTTCTTTCTTTCTTTCTTTCTTTCTTTCTTTTTTTTTTTTTTAGAGGTTTTTACTATAGGGCCGTGCGCTCGCCAGACAGAGAGAGGGAGATAGAAAGTGAGAAATCACTCCCCGGAGGGATGGCCACACCGCAATCCCTTCTCCTTCATTCTCCTCTTGGGATCTTGGGCACGCACACACACGCGCCCACTGTGGGTTTTAAGCCACCGGGTCCGGGACGTGAAACACGGTCGACTAAGTGGGAGTCCAGCGACAGCCATTACGCTAACTGCTGGTCCCTCATTTTCCCTTTTCTCTCTCTCACTCTTGCTCTCACTCTCGTTCTCACTCTGTCCTTCTCTGGTCAAAATTAAAATAAATAAATAAAATAATAATTAAAAATAATGCTAAAAAAAGTGATTTTACTGTACGAAAGTGCACCAGGTTCTGCGTCTTCACCAATGCCTACAAACGTGAAGACCTAAAAACAGGCCCTGGTTGCTGAGGCCCGGAGTGCACCTGGGAAGGTCATCTCCTTGGAATGCTTTCCTCGGTGGAGACGCCATCTTTTACCATCAGCCTGAGAACTCCAGGTGGCTTGCCAAGGAGGCAGCCACTCTCCGAAGTGTTAGTGATCAACCAGCACTGATCCTTGCCATCAGCTGGCTACCAGAGACCCCGTCCACTGCATCACCTGCTTCTGCCCCATCTGTCACAAACCCACCATACACAGTGACCCTGGACTACATTTGAGGAAGACAAGACCCCAGCCCCAGGCCCTGCAAGGTCCCTGCGTCCATCTGCCCCAGCCATCTCAAAGTGCTGAGCTTTCTCCCATCATCCCCACCACTGACCCTGTCCTGGTTGGGTACCAAAGACGGCATGGATTTAGGTCAGGCCTGTAAGTGGCAATTCAGAGCTTTGAGATTTTGCCCATCTTGTGTGGGCTGGATTTATTGGTGTAGTTATTTTAGTTTTGCTATGGGGCACGAGAGCTTCCAGGGGGTGGAGGTGGGGAGTGAGAAATCACCCTCCAGGAGGGATGGCCATTCCACAATCCCTTCTCAGCCACTCTCCTCTCAGGATTTTGGTCATACTTGCACATGGTCCAGCATGTTTTTCAACCTGCTGGGTCCAGGACGTCAGTCTCATCTGGCCATGGGGGATCCAGCTGCTTTAACCACCATGCCACTGGCTGGCCATCAGGTTGGAGTTATTATCCAGGCCACTAAGGGTTCAGATGACTGTCTTCAACTCCCTACATTTCTGGGGGAAGTAAGATGAATTTGCTGAAGGATCTCCTAAAAGGAAAATGAAGAAAAGAAAAAGGAACTGCTCACGGACAGAAGTGCCCCTCTAGCTCAGAAGCTGGTCTCTTCCTTCAGGGCCATGGCACAAGACTCCATCCTGCACGAGACTGCCCACACATTATCCGCTTGGGCCACAGATGCCTGAGTTTCTCAGCCCCACTCCAAACCCATAACTTGTGTGGCCCAGCAAGACTGGAATTATCTTAAATAAACCCCATCTCGGGACCAGCAGATGGCATGATGGTTATGTCGCTAGACTTCCATGTAGTTGACCATGGTTTGAGTCCCAGACTTAGTGTGTTTGGTACATGTGTGTGTGCACCCAAAATCCCAAGAGGAGAATGGAGGAGAAAAGACTGAGGCATGGCCATCCCCTCCCAGGGGGTAATTTCTTACTTTCTGTCTCTCCAATGGGCGCAAAAAACTCTATAGCAAAAATCTCTCCAAAAACAAACAAACAAACAAAAAAAACCATCTTATTCATAAATGGGCCACTGTTCCCGAGATCACTTCAGGCTACCTTCCCTGTCCCTGAGGGCCCTGCTGGCCCCACCTTTCCAGATAGAGGTGGTTAGAGGAAGCTGCCAGGGAGTTGCAGCCTACCAGGAAATTCTCTCCAGAAACTGATCTGGGGGCTCTCCTAGCAACAGCCACTTTGTACTATAGCTTCTTATACTCTGGGATCCCTGCACATGGCCAACACCTGGTCAAGGGGGAGATTCACTTGCCTGGGTTCCATTCCTGCCGTCTTAGAGCAGCAGTTTCAGGTCCACAGATATCCTGGTGCTTCAGACTGAGAAGTGGGTCGTCTAGTGACTGGTACCTAATAACAAAGTGTTCAAGAGTCTGTGACTGACTTGCCTCACGCTCTGAGTGGTTCAAGGTTATCCCTTTATTAATATCATGCTTTCTTGGGCATCCTGGTAAGCTCTCTTGAGTGGAATGAACTCTGCCATGGGCTGCAAGGTTCTGTATTCTCTTCCAGTCATGTCTCCTTTCCTCACCCACCCTCTGGCCTTCAGTCCTTCAAATACTCCAGGCTCATTTCTGCTCACAGCCTTTGCACTGGTAGCTCCTTTGCCAGGAAGCCCTTTCCCCAAAGACCTTTGCATCTTCTATCTCCTGCTTTGGGATCTGCTTAAAATTAACCTATTCCTGGTATTGACTTGGAGGGGTCTTAGAGGAGGGTTGGAGGCTGGCAATAGTTTGCTCTCCTCTACATGGAGGTTACAAGGTGTGTGCAAAATTAAAAATTAATTGAGCAGTCTACTTAAGATTTGTAGACTTACTAGGCAAGTAAACTCCATAGACAAAATCTAAAAAAAAATAACCAAACTCAACCCTTCCCCTGTCTTGTTATTTCTATCACTCTCAGCCACAGCATGTTCATTTCGAGCCTGGTACAATAATTATATTACTTATCGGTTTATTTGGAAGTTATATCTCTCATCAGGCTGTAAGCCCTACATAGAACTAGCAGATGGTGTAATTGTTACATCACAGGACTCCCACATAGTCGACTGCAGTTCAAGTCCTGGACCCAGCAACTTAAAACTCACAGTGGGCACATGTGCATGTGTACCCAAAATCCTGAGAGGAGAAAGGATTGTGGCATGCTCATCTCCCTGAGGGGTGATTTCTTGCTTTCTATCTCGGTCTCTCCAGCGAGCGCATGCACATATGCACATAGCAAAAATCTCTAATATTGTTCACTGTCTCCCTTCCAGAATGAAGCAAATGCCTGGACACAGTAAATACTAGAAAAAGTAGTAAATGAATAGACAGATAAATAAAAAAGCTTAGATTTTAATGATGGAGTAAAAAAAGCAGCAGAGGATACCAGAAGCTCCTGCAACCTTCAGCCTGCAGTGTAGTCTGGGGCCTTGTCCTGTAAGCCCATGTCTGGAAGTCCACTTGCCTGGAGGCCTACACCAGTCTGCTACACCTCATTGGGGTCATCCTGGTCCGCATAGATGAGGAAGCCTGTGAAGAGGCTGTCGGTCCAGTAAGGGTCGTAGAAGAGTCCGTTCTGCTCCGAGTAGAAGATCTGCAGCCAGACCTCATCTGCCTGCTTGAGAGCCAAGATGGTGGAGCCTGAGGCCACGTCGTGGTTGCCAGTGTTGGCGTCGAAGGTCCGGATGCGGTACTGGCCATTGTGCACCAGGCCGATGGCCAGGTGCTTGTTGGCCAGAGTGATGTCATAGGTGAAGTAGTAGATGCCTGGCACACCGCAGACGAACTTGCCACTGGACGCGTTATAGTGGCCACCCTCGTTCATCAAAATCTTGTCAAACTTGATGGGCAGCCGCTCTCGTGGGTAGCTCTTGGTCACTGCCACTGAGAAGGCTGACTTGGCACGGCTACCACCACAGCTGCAGGGCCCGGGGAGGCCTGGCTCTCCCTTCTTGCCCTTTGGCCCCTTCTTGCCTGGCATGCCATGCTTCCCAGGGGTACCACTGATCCCCTTGGGGCCACGAGGGCCAGCCCGCCCAATGGCCCCAGCTTTGCCCTTTGGTCCTGGCTTTCCACGGTTCCCTGTCCGGCCGGGGGGGCCTGGAAGACAGAACAACTGGTGTTATGGAGGGGTCCTCAAAGGCCTAGGTAGAGGTTGTGAGTCTTGGCTCTTCCTTCTTGGAGCAGGAGCCCGCAGGTAATGGGAAGAACAAGAGGCTTTGGAGTCACATAGAAATGGGCATGACCCTGGGCACTTCTCCCTGTCTTATCTGGAAAATGGGAATGGTGATACTGACCTTCTAGAATTATTGCGAACCAGGGTAAAAAGAAAAACTCAGGGACTAGCAGATGGCCTAATAGCTATGTTGCTGGACTCCCATGCAGTTGACCATGGTTTGAGTCCCGGACCCGGTGGCTTAAACTCACGCCAGGCATGTGTGCCTGTATGCCCAAGATCCCAAGAGGAGACTGGAGGAGAAGGGATTGGGCGTGGCTATCCCCCCCTGGGGGGTGATTTCTTGCTTTCTATCTCTCTGTCTTTCTGGTGAGTGCACGTGCTCTATAGCAAAAAAAAAAAAAAAAAAAAAAAAAAAAAAGAAAAGAAAGAAAAGATAGAACTCAGAATAATCCATGCCTTTCCTTTTCCTGATATCTAAGAAAGAAGAATCCGGTGTGCTTGCCAGATCGATCCTTCAGTGGGTTGTGCTGTGATGCATCAAGGAGACCCTTGACTTTGAGACATCTGTCTCAGTAAAATGCCTGTCAGTACACGAGGGCTCTGTCCATATGCACAAGGGTTTATTTCAGTGTTGCTGATAGCAGCAAAAAAGAAAAAAAAAAAGGCACCAGCCGAATGCCCATCCAAAGAAAAATTATTTAAGAAGTATGGTCTATCCATATGTAAGATTCTCCACAGGAGTTAAAGAAATGAGGCCGATTTACATGCCCAATATGAAACCTTCTCTAAAATATGTTGTCATGTAGGAAAGAACAGGTAGCAGAACCTTTGGGTTAAAAGTAAGCCACAGGGGCCAGTAGGTGATGTGGTGGTTAAGGTACTGGGCTCTCACATGGTCAACCATGGTTCAAGTCCCAAATCCGCTAGCTTGTCAATCATGATGGGTGCATGTGCATGTGTGCCCAATATTCTGAGAGGAGAATGGAGGAGAAGAGATTGCAGTGTTCCCACTCTCTGTCTCTTTCCAGCAAGTGCATTCGCCCCATGGCAAAAAACTTAAAAAAAAAAGGAAAAAGCAAATCACAATGCTATTAAATTATGCTGTGTACCCACTTAACTGGATAAATTTGTCTGGCCTATAGTAAACATTTGCTAAATACTAGTTGGCATAACCTGCAGAGCAGTCCCCTATCAATGTTTTCCTACATAACGTCTCTTGAGTTTTTTAAGCCTCTATTTCATAAAATGTACTTTTCTCTCAGTACAACATTTTTGGTCAATTATTATATAGGAAAGACTTATATTTTTGCCTCAACTCAACACAACATTTTAAACAAAATATGTATGGATACTTGAGTTACATTTGAGTCCAGTCATACAACTGGGCAGTGAGCAGAATGGGAGAATTAGCTGCTTCTGAAGGTTGCTGGTGCTGACGAGCACCTGCGCACCACTAAATGCAAGGAGACACTCACCACCATATGAGTTGGGTCAGCAAGGAAGTAATGCTTTTGGAATTTACAGCCAACAAGGTGCTTATATGTATATGTATAGGCATTTCACTTCATTTTAGAGTTTTGAGGTCACCTATAAGTTTCTACTCTTTTGGGACCAGCAGATGGCGTAATGGTTAAGTCGCTGGACTCCCACAAAGTCAACCTCAGTTTGAATTCCTGACCCAGCAACTTTAAACTCAGGTCGGGCACCTGTGTGAGTGCCCAAGATCCTAAGAGGAGAATGGAGAAGGGATTGCGGCATGGCCATCCCTCCTGGGGGTAATTTCTCGTTTTATGTCTCTCTGGTGAGTGCATGTGCCCTATAACAAAAATCTCTCTTAGATTTTTTTACTTCTATTTTAAATAATTGGAAAACAGATTTCCAAATAGCATTTTTTCACTGAGCATCAAAAAAAAAAAAGGTGCCAGCCGAATGCCTATCCAAAGAAAAATTATTTAAGAAGTATGGTCTATCCATATGTAAGATTCTCCACAGGAGTTAAAGAAATGAGGCCGATTTACATGCCCAATATGAAACCTTCTCTAAAATATGTTGTCATGTAGGAAAGAACAGGTAGCAGAACCTTTGGGTTAAAAGTAAGCCACAGGGGCCAGTAGGTGATGTGGTGGTTAAGGTACTGGGCTCTCACATGGTCAACCATGGTTCAAGTCCCAAATCCGCTAGCTTGTCAATCATGATGGGTGCATGTGCATGTGTGCCCAATATTCTGAGAGGAGAATGGAGGAGAAGAGATTGCAGTGTTCCCACTCTCTGTCTCTTTCCAGCAAGTGCATTCGCCCCATGGCAAAAAACTTTAAAAAAAAAAAAAAAGCAAATCACAATGCTATTAAATTATGCTGTGTACCCACTTAACTGGATAAATTTGTCTGGCCTATAGTAAACATTTGCTAAATACTAGTTGGCATAACCTGCAGAGCAGTCCCCTATCAATGTTTTCCTACATAACGTCTCTTGAGTTTTTTAAGCCTCTATTTCATAAAATGTACTTTTCTCTCAGTACAACATTTTTGGTCAATTATTATATAGGAAAGACTTATATTTTTGCCTCAACTCAACACAACATTTTAAACAAAATATGTATGGATACTTGAGTTACATTTGAGTCCAGTCATACAACTGGGCAGTGAGCAGAATGGGAGAATTAGCTGCTTCTGAAGGTTGCTGGTGCTGACGAGCACCTGCGCACCACTAAATGCAAGGAGACACTCACCACCATATGAGTTGGGTCAGCAAGGAAGTAATGCTTTTGGAATTTACAGCCAACAAGGTGCTTATATGTATATGTATAGGCATTTCACTTCATTTTAGAGTTTTGAGGTCACCTATAAGTTTCTACTCTTTTGGGACCAGCAGATGGCGTAATGGTTAAGTCGCTGGACTCCCACAAAGTCAACCTCAGTTTGAATTCCTGACCCAGCAACTTTAAACTCAGGTCGGGCACCTGTGTGAGTGCCCAAGATCCTAAGAGGAGAATGGAGAAGGGATTGCGGCATGGCCATCCCTCCTGGGGGTAATTTCTCGTTTTATGTCTCTCTGGTGAGTGCATGTGCCCTATAACAAAAATCTCTCTTAGATTTTTTTACTTCTATTTTAAATAATTGGAAAACAGATTTCCAAATAGCATTTTTTCACTGAGCATCTAATTTTCAGAAACAGATTGCTTATGTTAAGTACTTAGCAATGCCTAGTGTTATTACACACACATGTAAATATGTGGAAGAAGGCCAGGAAGGATACATGACTAACCAGTTAATAGTGGTTATTTCTGGAGGATAAGAAGGGATAGGAATCAAGGAGTTCATTTGTCTTGTTTGACTACATTATGATGAGGCAGTATTTGTATATTACTTATGTAGTTAAAAGTAAATAAGAAGAATGGGGAAAATAAGACTAAGAAAGGTCCCAAAGCTATTCCTTAAAAAAATGAAAATAACAGGGACCAGCAGTTAGCGTAATGGCTATGTCGCTGGACTCCCATGTAGTTGACTGCGGTTTGCGTCCCGGACCCAGTGGCTTAAAACTCACGCCGAGCGTGTGTGCATGCATGCCCAAGATCCCGAGAGGAGAATGGAGGAGAAGGGATTGCAGCATGGCCATCCCCTCGGGGGGGGGTGTGTGTGTGATTTCTCGCTTTCTGTCTCTCTGTCTCTCTCTGGCGAGCGCACGCGCCCTATCGCAAAAACCTCTCCAAAAAAAAAGAAAAAAGAAAATAACAGAAGACGGGATAAGGGATCAGAGAAGAGGAGGGTAGAGGTAATTGTTTAGAATTTTTTTTTTTTTTTTTTTTTTGCCAGAGGGTGCATGTGCTAGCCAGAGAGACGGGAAGAGAGGAAGAGAGGGAGTGACAGAAGCAGCCCTACTGGGGCATGGTCACATCACAGTCTCTTCTCCTCCATTGTTCCATCCTGTTGGAATTTTGGACATGCATGCACATATGTCCAGCATATTTTTCAAGCCTAGCAGGCCTGGGATTTGAACTGTGGTGGGTCATGTGGAATCCAGCTTCTCTTGATCAAGGAAAAAAGTCAAAA